TAGTAGTAGTAGCAACAGCAGTAGTAAAGGCAGAAGCAACAGTCGTATGCACAGCAGTTCAGTGAGGTACAATTAGAGCGATTGGAGTTTAAAATGTGACACCTCTCTCCCCACCCTGAAAAAGAAATCTTTCTATATTATATTATTATATGAATTAACAGCAGCGTATGGAGTCTTTTTACACCCCAACTGACACAATACAGATAACGTAGGAGGCAGGCTTTGGCTCTGCTTGTCAGGGACCAACCTGGGCTGAGAGGGATACACTATCTTCGTGCAAACACTTGATAACAATTACGGAATCGAGCTCAGGTTTTCTGCATGCTACGGCGAAGTGCCTAACCACTACACCACGAACGCTGGTATAAACGAAGGAATGACTATGAAATAAAATATAAATGGAAGAGAGAGAGAATGCTAGAGGGGCTCTCGTGGTCTAGAGATTAAGGTGTTCGCCTCATTCAAAGGTCCTGGGTTCAAATCCGGGTAGCAACCAAAAAATTTTCTTCTCTAAAATTGTCTCCTTTCACCTCCTTTCCTGCTCTCTAGCAATGTTCTGTCGTCTGCTTTCGTCTCCACTTTCTACCCCCTCCCCTTCACCTCCTTTACCCCCTCCTCTGGACCCCTGATTTTTTCTGCAGCCTTTCTACTGCTACTCCTTGGCTCCTTCTTACTGCTGTCTTTCAGCCACACCCCTGATCTTCTGGTAGGTAAGATATACACCTCGCCTTCTCGGACAAGGGCGAAAAATCTCGAAAGTCTCGTGTACAAGCTGGGCACGTGAAAGATCCCTTGGTAATACAAAATCGATAAGAGTATTCTTCTGCTGCCACCAGGCAAAAATTCAAAATTCCTACCAATTGGAAATGTTTAATGTGTCCCGCGCGCTCATATGACCTCATGCAGTTGCAAGCGCCGTAAAACACTTACCAAAGGAAAAAAAAAAGATTGCTAGAGATTTTGCAGACCGTTGGTTCGTTCATTATCACGAAAAAGACGAGTTGTTTTGTTTCGTTTTGGAGG